GCGACCAACACAAATACACAGCAACACAGAAACACTGACACTGACTCAGGTGTGCAGCTCGGAATAACAGATGACAAGGAAGTTCCTTGTCCAGACGAGATCCACAGAAATCCTACAGATGAACAAAAAGTTCTACAGACGTGGGTCTCACAGTCCTGGAGCGTCCCCCAGGCTGGCAGGCAAAGCTTAAAGACTCGTCAGTCTTGCTTTTGCACTGCCCAGAAATACAGACGGGATCCCCAGATTCTACAGCTGCTGCACTATCAACAAAACCAGACAATACAACACAGAGGCTGGCCAACTCACCTCCCCGCAAGGCTCGAGTTGCCCTGGTGGCTCCCTCTGACCGACAAATCTCGGTGGAACCTCCAAATATAAGAGTGAAACCACAGAGGACAAGTCAGCCTTCGGATTGCAACAGCAAGAGGTTTATTTAGTACACAGGTACCTGTGGGCACAAAGTCTCCTCGGAGGACTTGCGCGCCTCAGGTCGGGTTTGTGGAACTTTTATAGAGCAGAAGCGGGATACAGAAGCAGAAGCGCGGTTATTGGTTAATTTAAACTATTACAAAATGCTACGGGGAGAGCGGGAAGCTTACTTATCAGTAAGCCAGATGTCTCAACCATAAAACTTACTTATCAGTAAGCCAGATGTCTCGGCCATAAAACTTACTTATCAGTAAGCCAGATGTCTCGGCCATAAAACTTACTTATCAGTAAGCTGGATATCGGCAAGTTGGAATTCTTGACCGGTACGCGACCTGCCTGAGAGACTTCATGGCGCCTGACTTTTATTTTTTTTTTCAGTTGAACTTACTTCCAGCGATCCCCTCCTTTCTCCTCAGATGCCTGGCTCTGGGTAATGGCTAACCACAGATAGCAGTGTCACCACCCAGACGCTATTACCTGTTTACTTAGAAGAGGCCAAGTTTTTTCTGACTCCGTAACAATGAAATGTAACCCCGACCCCCAAAATATCCCTCTGTCCTGTGATGGTCATGGGGTGATTAACTATTGTTCGTTTAGCTTCTGTATACACGCTTATCACTAGGCTCTGAGGAAAGTGTAATCTCTCCCCTTGCAGCTGTACATGCCACAAGAATGAAGCAATGTGGTTTTTACCTTTAAAGACTTCCTCCACTACTAAGAAAGTTACTACAGGTTCCGTGCCCACCTTCAGACACTGTGGTCACTGCCCATAGTCAGAATAAAAATTTGGCTAATTCCAATTCCCTTAAGTCTGAGTGGTCTTTCCCAATGGTCCTGAACTCCATAACGCAACTGCCCGATAGAGTCTTGTAAATGTCCAACGTCTCTGAGAGCTCAGAAGCCTAAAATTTTTTATGACCCCTGCCGTGGCACCCAAGGCAGCAGGACTTGTGATGCCTGTTCCCACAGGGAGGGGGACAAGGATGGCAGCAGGACTTCTTCTGGCCCTTGAGAGACTTGGGTTAAGGTGGAAGTGTTTCCACCCTTCCTCTCCACTAAGGGTACCCAAATTTATAAGAGTGTATGTATTTATCAGGCCTTTTAATATAATATCAAAATACTCATGTTTGTAAATCTGCACATGTGCATTTTAATTGGGCATGCCAAAAAAGCTAATAATTTTAGGACAGAATTTTTAAAAATAATGAAAAAAACAAGGATCATAGACACACATGACCCAATTACATGAAATCTAGGAGTACCAAGAGTGGGAAAGTAGAAAGCTTATATTTGTAGCTTTTTAAGATGTTAGAAAGGCATAGTGACCTAAAAGAAAGGGTAAAGATTGCCATGTAGACTTGGGGTAATATTTCTTTCTCTTTTCAAGAGCTAAATAACTGAGGGATGTTATAAATAAAATCTGAGATCTAAGGACCCTATCAATACCACACAAAGCAAAAATAACTTGGCAAAGTAGATTTTATTTTTGCGTAAGAATGCGTTGCATGGTCAGTCAGTTCCAGTTTAAAAGAATCTGCTTAAAGGGACTAGAGCTCTGCTGCCCCAGGCTATCAGGTTTGGGAAGGCACCAAAAGCTTTCTTTAAACAAAGTCTTACAGGGTATGGTGAGATTAAAAGATTTGAATTCCTTGTCATAAACCAAGTTCTAAGCTTTACAGGTTTCAAAAGAGAAGAATAATTAATGTTTCTTACAGAAGGAAACACCTTTACATATGAAAGCAGCGGAGTTCCCCTTGTCTAAGATATTAGCACAACATAAGTCTGAGGCAACAGGAAGGACAGTAAAGGAAGCATTAAGACTTCAGGTTAAGAATAAACAAAGTTAATGCTGTAATGAATTGCTTCTTCTAATCATGTGATTATTAAATAATTTTTTTAAAGAGAACCCATAAAGTTTAAAGGCAGTCATTCCAAACATGCTGCAGTTGTCTCATTTTGTCTCAGGCTGTTCTCTTGGAGACAAAAGACTGGCTCAGGACATCTTGAGGATCAGTTCCTATGATGTACCCCAGAAAAGTCACATGCTATTGTGTCTGACCCAGGTACCAGAGTATAGAGAAGACTTCTGGATTTTTAAGTGGGTCCACTCAAGCCAAACCAGGATTCCTGGCTTCAACTGCTGAAGGGAATTTTAGGAATAGCTAGTTTAATAAAGACAATTTAATGCAGGCTTAAGCATAAGAGTTAAAGGCAAGAGTTGCTCTAGGGGGGAAAACGTGAGCTATATCCAAGTGAGTAGAGCTTCCTGGAAGAAAAGCACTTTCTTAAGATAGGTCGTAATCTATTTGCATATAGAGCTTTGTTGTGGAGATAGAGCGTGAAGGGCATGGTCAGAGAAAGATGAGGGAGACTAGTCTAAGAATTTATCTTTAGTTCTAATACAATCTCTAAAAGTTTTTGATTAATTTTTAAATTTTAATACTTCACTCACATGTATTTTTAGAACTCTTATTATTGTAAATTACCAATTTATAATTTTCTTTCTTTTCAGATGATTTCACATTTTAATTCACATTAAAATTTGACATGTAATAGTTTTAAATTGTATTGCCTAGGCCTTCTAAGAAGTTAAGTATGAAAAAAAAAATTGGAATATCAAACATTCCCCCCCACCAAGAGGCCAAGTTATCTTTGGTTAGATCTCCCCATTTTTACAAATACTTACAAGTTTAAAGTTCATAATTGCCATACATAAAGCCAGCTATAGTGCCAGATGGCAGTTTATCTTCGAACACTTCCTCCTTTTTGGAAAGCTTACATTTTTATTTTCTCCTGAAGAATTGCAAGCCTTTCTATGCTAGCTGGGGACTATGTGTTTTGGATATGGTTTATGTGCTGCTTTGGTGTGGACTTCCTCAACTTTCACACTTAGACTATCTTCTCCCACTGGGTTTCAGGGTTATCCTGCACATTACAGAAACCTGAGGGGGCTCAAGACACTAAGAGATCAAACCCTCATGTGTGTCTTCCTGGGCCAGCCAATAAAGTTCCTTCTGACCCAGGAATGGGGTATGTCTATCAAGGTTCCTTGTGAGGCCATTATGTGTCCTAGGAAGTGCCCCTGACATCTCTACTCTGTAAGGATGGAGCGAACAGTGCCTCTTATCTTCAGCACCTTTATGATCAGGCGTTCATAATATTCCTAAGCTAAAGGCATCAAGGTTGCAATCAAACATGAAAAATCAAGGAAATAAATGCAAATTTAGGTATTGGAAGAGTGTATGGAGACAAAGGCCAACTAAATCAAAACATCAAAAACAAACAGAACCAAGACAGACCACAAATACCAAAATACCTTTAAAGTTCTAGAAGCCATCAATACTAAAAACAAACCAATCAGAAACAAATTGTTTCTGAAGCAAACAAAAATGGATACTTTAAAGCAGATATTTTGAAAGCAAACGAACAAATATCTAAACAAATAGGAACCTGAAAATTGGCAGACATACCTTAAGTTAGACTTTTTCTTATATTTTTAAGTTGAAGGAACATACTCATCAACCCTAAACCCAGCTGGAATATGAAATATCTGCTTTTCTTGTAACATTTCTCCATTCCTTAGATATGGGAGAAATACTCAGAGAAAAAGAAAAAAAAAAAAAACAACTTACTGCTAACAAATTTTAACAAACAAGTGGTGAGAAGCAAATATGCCTTCAGAGGTCTGAAAAACAACAACTGAAAGACCCGACTGACAGCAGGAAGGCCATTTTAGAGAAAGAACTGCAGTCAGCCATATGGTGAGCCAAAGTTCAAACCCAGGTCTTGTGAAACCAGCAGTGGAAAAAAGGACGTTTATGGTCGGACCTCCTGACACCACCCTGAAGCCCCTACCGGGAAGTTAGTGATAACAATCAGTTTCACCCACAGCCCCCTCTGAATTGAGACCCTACCGATAACAATCAGTTTCACCCATAGCCCCCTCTGAATTTGGCAATACTGTTTCCTCATACCTTGTACCCATTGAAATGCACTAATAATAATCTTGTAACCATGCATCTGCTTCTGTACCTTGCTTCTGCTCTATAAAAAGCCCCCCCCCAAACTAAGCCCGGCACGCAAGTCTTGACCCGAGCGGGACTCTGCGTCTGCAGGCGCCTGTGTATGAATAAATTCCTCTTGCTTTTGCATCCCGAAACTTGGTTTTGTCCCTGTGTGTTGAGCGCGATTCTTCATTTGGAGGTTCCACCGAGATCCCGCAGCGCAACGCTGGGGACAACCCAAGTCCGCGGGGAGGTGAGTTGGCCGGCCAGGGGAGTGTGGGCCTTGTTCTGTGTTTCTGTATTCTTGTGGTTTCTTTTTCTGCGTGAGACTCACGGCCTGATTCTGGGCGACTCTGGACAAGACTGACGAGTCTGAGGAGTCTATCCGCCACCCTCGGGGACACCCGAGGGGCTCTGGGAGCCCGCTGTGTGGGGCTCGGGAACGACTTTCCTCGGCGACTGTATGGGAGCCCGACTATTCGGGGCCCACTACGTTTCCGAGGGATTTGTCCATCTGTACGGAGGGGAAGAGGTGCCTCCTCCATCTGGTTTCAGACCCTCGGTCTGGCTCGCCAGGCGAGGGAGCGCAGCGTTTCTGTGTGCCGGCTGTTTGTCTTTGTTTTGTCTCGTGCTTATCTGTATTATTGTATACTCGTCTCCCCTCGCCATGGGACAGGAATTAACTACCCCTCTTAGTCTAACTCTAGATCATTGGCGCGAGGTAAAGACTAGAGCCTCCAACCAGTCGGTGGAAGTCAAGAAGAACAAATGGATTGCTTTCTGTTCATCTGAGTGGCCCACCTTTGACGTCGGGTGGCCACGAGATGGCACTTTTGACCCAAATATTATCTCTCAGGTTAAAATGCAGGTTTTCAGATCGGGACCCTACGGACACCCAGACCAGATCCCGTACATCGTTACCTGGGAAAGCCTCTCCTACAACCCCCCTCCTTGGGTTGCCCCTTTCCTGCCCCCTAGACCCTCCTCTCGGGCGCCCTCGGCACCTCAGCCAACAGATCCCTCCCCCTCTGTGTCCCTCTGTCCTGTTCTCCTCAAATCTAAGTCTGTAATTCCCCCCGATGAGTCAGCTCTGACTAATCTCCTTGAAGACAGCCCTCCACCTTACCCACCTCCGGCCCCGATTCCAGAAATTCAACCTCAAGCAGTCGGGGGAGTATCGGACGTAGGCCAGGGCGCTGGGGCGCCCTCCCCGATCGCAGGAAGACTGAGAGACCGCCGGGGTCAAGGAGGAGAGTCTTCTCACATACTTCCCCTCTGAGTGGGACCAGGGCCAGGCAACCAACTCCAGTACTGGCCCTTTTCTGCCTCTGACCTTTATAATTGGAAGCAACATAACCCGCCCTTCTCCCAAGACCCTGTGGCCCTAACTAACCTCCTAGAGTCTATTCTTCTAACCCACCAGCCCACCTGGGATGATTGCCAGCAGCTTCTCCAAGTTCTCCTCACGACAGAAGAAAAACAGAGGGTTATTCTGGAAGCCCGCAAGCAGGTTCCTGGGGCGGATGGGAGACCTACCCAGCTGCCCAACGAGATAGAAGCTGCCTTTCCCTTGACCAGACCAGATTGGGACTTCAACACACCTGAAGGTAGGGGACACCTACGCCTTTATCGCCAGTTGCTCACAGCGGGCCTCCGAGCAGCGGGGCGACGCCCCACCAATTTGGCCAAGGTAAGATCAGTAGTACAAGGGCAAGATGAGGTGCCGACGGTATTCTTAGAGAGACTAAAGGAAGCATATCGGAGGTTTACTCCCTTCGATCCAGATAGCCCTGAGCAGGAAGTGAGTGTCTCTATGTCTTTCATTTGGCAGTCAGCCCCTGACATTAAGGTGAAACTCCAAAGAATGGAGAATCTGCAGGGACAGAGGTTACAAGATCTACTCAGGGAAGCGGAGAGAATTTATAATAAAAGAGAAACTCAAGAAGAAAGAGAGGAAAGGCAAAGGAGAGAGGCAGAAGATAGGGAGAATGCAAGAGACAGGAGGCGAAACAAGGAATTAAGCAGGATACTGGCCACTGTAGTGAGAGACAAAGAAGAGTCCAGAGGAGATAGGAAGGGAGGCAGAGGCAGGGCCCCATTAGACAGTGACCAATGTGCCTACTGCAAAGAGAAAGGCCACTGGGCAAGAGATTGCCCTAAAAAGAAATCAAGAACAAGAGAGTCCACTCTCCTAACCCTCGACTAGGGGGGTCGGGGCCAGGACCCCCCACCTGAGCCCAGGGTAACTCTTCGAGTGGGGGGCAAGCCAGTTACCTTCATGGTAGATACCGGTGCCCAGCACTCGGTTCTCACCCACACCACCGGACCCTTCAGCAAAAAGACGTCATGGGTTGAAGGAGCAACTGGAGCCAATCGATACCGATGGACTACCAACCGAGAAGTGCAACTGGCCACAGGTACAGTGACCCACGCTTTCCTACACGTGCCGGATTGCCCTTACCCACTCCTGGGAAGGGACCTCCTGACCAAGCTAGGGGCCCACATTCATTTCAAAAATAAGGGGGCAGTTGTGACCACGTCTAGGGGAGCCCCTCTCCAGGTGCTCACTCTTCGGCTGGAGGATGAATATAGACTGTTTGAAGAGAAAAATAAACCCTCTCCCAATATAGAAGGTTGGCTCTCCAAATTTCCCAGGGCATGGGCGGAAACGGCAGGGAAGGGACTGGCGACGAATCAGCCTCCCCTCGTCATTGGACTAAAAACTACAGCCAGTCCAGTGGCGATCAAACAATACTCACTGTCAGCTGAAGCCTATCAAGGTATTAAGCCCCACCTCAAAAGACTCCTAGAACAAGGAATTCTCACCAAGTGCCAGTCCCCCTGGAACACCCCCCTGCTCCCAGTTAAGAAACCTGGCACGGGAGATTACAGGCCGGTGCAAGACCTCCGGGAAGTAAACAAGCGGGTAGAGGACATCCACCCGACTGTCCCAAACCCATATAACTTGCTGAGCACCCTCCCTCCTACTCATGTTTGGTATACAGTCCTGGATTTAAAAGATGCTTTCTTTTGCCTGCGGTTAAGCCCTGCCAGTCAACCCCTTTTCGCCTTCGAATGGAAGGACCCTGAGATAGGTATTTCAGGACAACTGACCTGGACCCGGTTACCACAAGGCTTTAAAAACAGCCCAACCCTGTTTGACGAGGCCCTCCACCACGATTTGACCACCTTCAGGGCCCAGCACACCAACTTGGTCCTACTACAGTACGTAGATGACATCCTGCTCGCCGCTCTTACAAGAGAGGAGTGTCTAACAGGTACAGAGCACCTCCTCCAGGAATTGGGAAAACTCGGGTACAGAGCCTCAGCAAAGAAAGCCCAGGTCTGCCAACAGGAAGTGACTTATCTGGGGTATAGGCTCAGAGAGGGGCAACGATGGCTAACCCAG